CCCCCCCCCCCCCCCAAACGACAACAACAAGAATGCCGTTGGCAACAAAAGCACCAATATACCACAACTGTGACAACAACAGCAACACCAACAGTCAAAATAACAACAACAATTTAGAGTTCAATTCTAAACTGTTCTAACTACCTTTCCCCTGTAGCCTACTCCTGGAGTGGAGTCTTGTGTTGGGGTCCTGTTTGTGTCTGATGTCTATATTGTCACTTGTCTTCTGCAACATGTTTATGGAGGAATAATAGAAATGAAGATAAATACACTTTAAAACTAATGGTGATTATGATGACATTGATGATGACGATAACGATGGTGATGATTTGGTGATTATGAAGCTTCGAAAGAGTAGGTGTAGTCAAAGGAGGAGGACGTAGAAAGAGAGGGGGTGGAGGGGGGGGGGAGGGAGGAAGGTGGAAGATAATCATGATGTTACCACTTACACGAAAACATGAACAAATATATTAGGGAAAATCAGAAACACAAATATAAAATATGGTTGCTTACACAAAGCTCTCCGCACCTTTCCCCTGTAGTCTACTCCTGCTTGGACAAGATGGACGGAGGCTACTACCCGGATACCACCAACTGTTACGGCTACTATTACTGTTCCAACGGGGTACCCTACCCCCAGACCTGTGTGGGCGGACAGCATTTCAATCCTGTGACAGTTTCTTGTGACGATGCCGTCAACGTGCTGTGTGTTATTGGCACCACACTAGGTAAATGTTTAGTTGTGAAATTCTGTTTTTTTGTGTTTTTTAAAAACTTTTTTCTGTCTATAGTCATTCCTTCTTGTTTTGATTTATATCCCCTCTCTCTCCAGTGAAAGTATTCTTTTTCTTAAATCCATTCTTGTTGTAATCTTATTTTTTTATATTCATTGTTCCATTCTGATTTCATTATGTGGCCTTATGCTGCTTTGATTTTCTCATTCCTTTGCTTTTATATAATACCCAAATTCTTTGGTGAATCTTATATTTGTACTGTCTTATTTTTACCTTTTTTCTCTCTTTCCGAACTAAAACATTAATATACATAATATATTATTATACTTTTTTATCACCTCTTCCCCCCAGTGCCCCCTGTGTCGTGTGACGGATTGCCAGATGGGACTTACCTCACAGACCCCTATGACTGCCATCTATACTACCGCTGTATGTACGGGGAGGCCAGGCATGGCCGCTGTCCGGATGACTTGGTGTGGAATGACGTGTCCATGGCATGTGATCACGTAATCAACGTGGACTGCTCGGCACGAGGAAACCTGACGGTCACTGGGAGCACTTCTGGTGTGACGTCAAGCGACTACCCAAGTCCTACACCAACTGCACAGGGTAAATCTTATTTTTGGATGGTCTTTTGGACAGAGAAGCTATGTTTACCCATGATGAGGAAGTCTTGTGTTGGGGTCCTTTTTGTATCTGATGTCTATTTTGTCACTTGTCTTCTGCAACATGTTTATGGAGGAATAATAAAAATGAAGATAAATACATGTCTTTAAAACTAATGATGATGATGGTAATGATGATAATGGTGACAATGATAGTGATGATGATTTGATGATTTTGAAGCGTCGAAGGAGTAGGAGTAGACAAAGGAGGAGTACGTAGAAAGATAGTGGAGGGGGAAGACAAACATGATGATAACACTTACAAGAAAACAGCCACAAATATGTTAGGGAAAATCAGAAACAGATTTAAAATCTGGTTGTTAACACAATGCTTTCTACACCTTTCCCCTGTAGCCTATTCCTGCGTGGACAAGATGGACGGAGGCTACTACCCGGATCCCACCAACTGTTACGGCTACTTTTACTGTTCCAACGGGGTACCCTACCCCCAGACCTGTGTGGGCGGACAGCACTTCAATCCTGTGACAGTTTCTTGTGACGATGACGTCAACGTGCTATGTATTATTGGCACCACGCCAGGTAAATGTTTAGTTGCGAAATGCCTTCTTAATAAAAAATCATTCTTTTGTGTATGATTCTTATTTGGTTGATATCGTCTTCTCTTTCCTGTTAAATTATTCTTATTCTTACTTCCATTCTTTTTTGTAATCTCATTCCATGGTCGTCATTGTTCCATTCCGATTTTAATGACATGGTTTTATACTGCTTTGACGATTCTTTTCCATTACTGTTTATACATTTCCCAAATTCTCTTGGGAATCTACTATTCATACCGTCCTTTTTTTCAACCCGTTTTTCTCTCATTACAACCTAAAATATATGTTCTTTTACAATCTCCTTCCCCCAGTACCCCCTGTGTTGTGTGACGGATTGCCAGACGGGACTTACCTCACAGACCCCTATGACTGCCACTTGTACTACCGTTGTATGTACGGGGAGGCCAGGCATGGCCGCTGTCCGGATGACTTGGTGTGGAATGATGTTTCCATGGCATGTGATCACATGATCAACGTGGACTGCTCGGGACGAGGACACCAGACGGTCACTGGGAGCACTTCCGGTGTGACGTCAAATGACTACCCAAGTCCTACACCACCTGCACAGGGTAAAGCTTACTTTTTGATGGTCGTTTGGACAGAGAAGCTATGTGTACACATGATGAGCACGTGGAGTCTTCTGTTGGGGTTCTGTTTGTGTCTGAAGTCTATATTGTCACTTGTCTTCTGCAACATGTTTATGGAGGAATAATAGAATTGAAGATAAATACATGTCTTTAAAACTAATGATGATGATGGTAATGATGATAATGGTGACAATGATAGTGATGATGATTTGATGATTTTGAAGCGTCGAAGGAGTAGGAGTAGACAAAGGAGGAGGACGTAGAGAGAGAGTGGAGGGGGAAGACAAACATGATGATAACACTAACAAGAGAACAGCAACAAATATGTTGGTGAAAATCAGAAACACAGATTTAAAATCTGGTTGTTAACACAATGCTTTCTACACCTTTCCCCTGTAGCCTACTCCTGCGTGGACAAGATGGACGGAGGCTACTACCCGGATCCCACCAACTGTTATGGCTACTATTACTGTTCCAATGGGGTACCCTACCCCCAGACCTGTGTGGGCGGACAGCACTTCAATCCTGTGACAGTTTCTTGTGACGATGCCGTCAACGTGCTTTGTGTTATTGGCACCACACTAGGTAAATGTTAAGTTGTGAAATTCTGGCTTTTTGTTTTTTAAAACTTTTTTCTTTCTATAGTCGTTCCTTTTTGTTTTGGTTTATATCCCCTCTCTCTCCAGTAAAAGTATTCTTTTTCTTAAATCCATTCTTGTTGTAATCTTATTTAATTATATTCATTGTTCCATTCCGATTTCTGTACGGGGCCTTAAGGCCTTATGCTGCTTTAATTTTCTCCTTCCATTGCTTTTATATAATACCCCAAATCTCTCGGGAATCTTATATATTTGTACTGTCTTATTTTTACCTTTTTCCTCTTATTCCGAACTAAAACATTAATATACATAATATATTTTAATACTTTTTTTTTACCACCTCTTCCCTCAGTACCCCCTGTGTCATGTGACGGATTGCCAGACGGGACTTACCTCACAGACCCGTATGACTGCCATCTGTACTACCGTTGTATGTACGGGGAGGCCAGGCATGGCCGCTGTCCGGATGACTTGGTGTGGAATGATGTGTCCATGGCATGTGATCACGTGATCAACGTGGATTGCTCTGGACGAGGACACCAGACGGTCACTGGGAGCACTTCCGGTGTGACGTCAAGCGACTACCCAAGTCCTACACCAACTGTACAGGGTAAAGCTTTCTTTTTGATGGTCGTTTGGACAGAGAAGCTATGTGTACACATGATGAGCACGTGGAGTCTTGTGTTGGGGTCCTGTTTGTGTCTGAAGTCTATATTGTCACTTGTCTTCTGCAACATGTTTATGGAGGAATAATAGAATTGAAGATAAATACATGTCTTTAAAACTAATGGTGATTATGATGACAATGATGATGACGATAATGATGATGATGATTTGGTGATTATGAAGCGTCGAAGGAGTAGGAGTAGACAAAGGAGGAGGACGTAGAGAGAGAGTGGAGGGGGAAGACAAACATGATGATAACACTAACAAGAGAACAGCAACAAATATGTTGGTGAAAATCAGAAACACAGATTTAAAATCTGGTTGTTAACACAATGCTTTCTACACCTTTCCCCTGTAGCCTACTCCTGCGTGGACAAGATGGACGGAGGCTACTACCCGGATCCCACCAACTGTTATGGCTACTATTACTGTTCCAACGGGGTACCCTACCCCCAGACCTGTGTGGGCGGACAGCACTTCAATCCTGTGACAGTTTCTTGTGACGATGCCGTCAACGTGCTTTGTGTTATTGGCACCACACTAGGTAAATGTTAAGTTGTGAAATTCTGGCTTTTTGTTTTTTAAAACTTTTTTCTTTCTATAGTCGTTCCTTTTTGTTTTGGTTTATATTCCCTCTCTCTCCAGTAAAAGTATTCTTTTTCTTAAATCCATTCTTGTTGTAATCTTATTTAATTATATTCATTGTTCCATTCCGATTTCTGTACGGGGCCTTAAGGCCTTATGCTGCTTTAATTTTCTCCTTCCATTGCTTTTATATAATACCCCAAATCTCTCGGGAATCTTATATATTTGTACTGTCTTATTTTTACCTTTTTCCTCTTATTCCGAACTAAAACATTAATATACATAATATATTTTAATACTTTTTTTTTACCACCTCTTCCCTCAGTACCCCCTGTGTCATGTGACGGATTGCCAGACGGGACTTACCTCACAGACCCGTATGACTGCCATCTGTACTACCGTTGTATGTACGGGGAGGCCAGGCATGGCCGCTGTCCGGATGACTTGGTGTGGAATGATGTGTCCATGGCATGTGATCACGTGATCAACGTGGATTGCTCTGGACGAGGACACCAGACGGTCACTGGGAGCACTTCCGGTGTGACGTCAAGCGACTACCCAAGTCCTACACCAACTGTACAGGGTAAAGCTTTCTTTTTGATGGTCGTTTGGACAGAGAAGCTATGTGTACACATGATGAGCACGTGGAGTCTTGTGTTGGGGTCCTGTTTGTGTCTGAAGTCTATATTGTCACTTGTCTTCTGCAACATGTTTATGGAGGAATAATAGAATTGAAGATAAATACATGTCTTTAAAACTAATGGTGATTATGATGACAATGATGATGACGATAATGATGATGATGATTTGGTGATTATGAAGCGTCGAAGGAGTAGGAGTAGACAAAGGAGGAGGACGTAGAGAGAGAGTGGAGGGGGAAGACAAACATGATGATAACACTAACAAGAGAACAGCAACAAATATGTTGGTGAAAATCAGAAACACAGATTTAAAATCTGGTTGTTAACACAATGCTTTCTACACCTTTCCCCTGTAGCCTACTCCTGCGTGGACAAGATGGACGGAGGCTACTACCCGGATCCCACCAACTGTTATGGCTACTATTACTGTTCCAACGGGGTACCCTACCCCCAGACCTGTGTGGGCGGACAGCACTTCAATCCTGTGACAGTTTCTTGTGACGATGCCGTCAACGTGCTTTGTGTTATTGGCACCACACTAGGTAAATGTAAAGTTGTGAAATTCTGGCTTTTTGTTTTTTAAAACTTTTTTCTTTCTATAGTCGTTCCTTTTTGTTTTGGTTTATATCCCCTCTCTCTCCAGTAAAAGTATTCTTTTTCTTAAATCCATTCTTGTTGTAATCTTATTTAATTATATTCATTGTTCCATTCCGATTTCTGTACGGGGCCTTAAGGCCTTATGCTGCTTTAATTTTCTCCTTCCATTGCTTTTATATAATACCCCAAATCTCTCGGGAATCTTATATATTTGTACTGTCTTATTTTTACCTTTTTCCTCTTATTCCGAACTAAAACATTAATATACATAATATATTTTAATACTTTTTTTTACCACCTCTTCCCTCAGTACCCCCTGTGTCATGTGACGGATTGCCAGACGGGACTTACCTCACAGACCCGTATGACTGCCATCTGTACTACCGTTGTATGTACGGGGAGGCCAGGCATGGCCGCTGTCCGGATGACTTGGTGTGGAATGATGTGTCCATGGCATGTGATCACGTGATCAACGTGGATTGCTCTGGACGAGGACACCAGACGGTCACTGGGAGCACTTCCGGTGTGACGTCAAGCGACTACCCAAGTCCTACACCAACTGTACAGGGTAAAGCTTTCTTTTTGATGGTCGTTTGGACAGAGAAGCTATGTGTACACATGATGAGCACGTGGAGTCTTGTGTTGGGGTCCTGTTTGTGTCTGAAGTCTATATTGTCACTTGTCTTCTGCAACATGTTTATGGAGGAATAATAGAATTGAAGATAAATACATGTCTTTAAAACTAATGGTGATTATGATGACAATGATGATGACGATAATGATGATGATGATTTGGTGATTATGAAGCGTCGAAGGAGTAGGAGTAGACAAAGGAGGAGGACGTAGAGAGAGAGTGGAGGGGGAAGACAAACATGATGATAACACTAACAAGAGAACAGCAACAAATATGTTGGTGAAAATCAGAAACACAGATTTAAAATCTGGTTGTTAACACAATGCTTTCTACACCTTTCCCCTGTAGCCTACTCCTGCGTGGACAAGGTGGACGGAGGCTACTACCCGGATCCCACCAACTGTTATGGCTACTATTACTGTTCCAACGGGGTACCCTACCCCCAGACCTGTGTGGGCGGACAGCACTTCAATCCTGTGACAGTTTCTTGTGACGATGCCGTCAACGTGCTTTGTGTTATTGGCACCACACTAGGTAAATGTTAAGTTGTGAAATTCTGGCTTTTTGTTTTTTAAAACTTTTTTCTTTCTATAGTCGTTCCTTTTTGTTTTGGTTTATATCCCCTCTCTCTCCAGTAAAAGTATTCTTTTTCTTAAATCCATTCTTGTTGTAATCTTATTTAATTATATTCATTGTTCCATTCCGATTTCTGTACGGGGCCTTAAGGCCTTATGCTGCTTTAATTTTCTCCTTCCATTGCTTTTATATAATACCCCAAATCTCTCGGGAATCTTATATATTTGTACTGTCTTATTTTTACCTTTTTCCTCTTATTCCGAACTAAAACATTAATATACATAATATATTTTAATACTTTTTTTTACCACCTCTTCCCTCAGTACCCCCTGTGTCATGTGACGGATTGCCAGACGGGACTTACCTCACAGACCCGTATGACTGCCATCTGTACTACCGTTGTATGTACGGGGAGGCCAGGCATGGCCGCTGTCCGGATGACTTGGTGTGGAATGATGTGTCCATGGCATGTGATCACGTGATCAACGTGGATTGCTCTGGACGAGGACACCAGACGGTCACTGGGAGCACTTCCGGTGTGACGTCAAGCGACTACCCAAGTCCTACACCAACTGTACAGGGTAAAGCTTTCTTTTTGATGGTCGTTTGGACAGAGAAGCTATGTGTACACATGATGAGCACGTGGAGTCTTGTGTTGGGGTCCTGTTTGTGTCTGAAGTCTATATTGTCACTTGTCTTCTGCAACATGTTTATGGAGGAATAATAGAATTGAAGATAAATACATGTCTTTAAAACTAATGGTGATTATGATGACAATGATGATGACGATAATGATGATGATGATTTGGTGATTATGAAGCGTCGAAGGAGTAGGAGTAGACAAAGGAGGAGGACGTAGAGAGAGAGTGGAGGGGGAAGACAAACATGATGATAACACTAACAAGAGAACAGCAACAAATATGTTGGTGAAAATCAGAAACACAGATTTAAAATCTGGTTGTTAACACAATGCTTTCTACACCTTTCCCCTGTAGCCTACTCCTGCGTGGACAAGATGGACGGAGGCTACTACCCGGATCCCACCAACTGTTATGGCTACTATTACTGTTCCAACGGGGTACCCTACCCCCAGACCTGTGTGGGCGGACAGCACTTCAATCCTGTGACAGTTTCTTGTGACGATGCCGTCAACGTGCTTTGTGTTATTGGCACCACACTAGGTAAATGTAAAGTTGTGAAATTCTGGCTTTTTGTTTTTTAAAACTTTTTTCTTTCTATAGTCGTTCCTTTTTGTTTTGGTTTATATCCCCTCTCTCTCCAGTAAAAGTATTCTTTTTCTTAAATCCATTCTTGTTGTAATCTTATTTAATTATATTCATTGTTCCATTCCGATTTCTGTACGGGGCCTTAAGGCCTTATGCTGCTTTAATTTTCTCCTTCCATTGCTTTTATATAATACCCCAAATCTCTCGGGAATCTTATATATTTGTACTGTCTTATTTTTACCTTTTTCCTCTTATTCCGAACTAAAACATTAATATACATAATATATTTTAATACTTTTTTTTACCACCTCTTCCCTCAGTACCCCCTGTGTCATGTGACGGATTGCCAGACGGGACTTACCTCACAGACCCGTATGACTGCCATCTGTACTACCGTTGTATGTACGGGGAGGCCAGGCATGGCCGCTGTCCGGATGACTTGGTGTGGAATGATGTGTCCATGGCATGTGATCACGTGATCAACGTGGATTGCTCTGGACGAGGACACCAGACGGTCACTGGGAGCACTTCCGGTGTGACGTCAAGCGACTACCCAAGTCCTACACCAACTGTACAGGGTAAAGCTTTCTTTTTGATGGTCGTTTGGACAGAGAAGCTATGTGTACACATGATGAGCACGTGGAGTCTTGTGTTGGGGTCCTGTTTGTGTCTGAAGTCTATATTGTCACTTGTCTTCTGCAACATGTTTATGGAGGAATAATAGAATTGAAGATAAATACATGTCTTTAAAACTAATGGTGATTATGATGACAATGATGATGACGATAATGATGATGATGATTTGGTGATTATGAAGCGTCGAAGGAGTAGGAGTAGACAAAGGAGGAGGACGTAGAGAGAGAGTGGAGGGGGAAGACAAACATGATGATAACACTAACAAGAGAACAGCAACAAATATGTTGGTGAAAATCAGAAACACAGATTTAAAATCTGGTTGTTAACACAATGCTTTCTACACCTTTCCCCTGTAGCCTACTCCTGCGTGGACAAGGTGGACGGAGGCTACTACCCGGATCCCACCAACTGTTATGGCTACTATTACTGTTCCAACGGGGTACCCTACCCCCAGACCTGTGTGGGCGGACAGCACTTCAATCCTGTGACAGTTTCTTGTGACGATGCCGTCAACGTGCTTTGTGTTATTGGCACCACACTAGGTAAATGTTAAGTTGTGAAATTCTGGCTTTTTGTTTTTTAAAACTTTTTTCTTTCTATAGTCGTTCCTTTTTGTTTTGGTTTATATCCCCTCTCTCTCCAGTAAAAGTATTCTTTTTCTTAAATCCATTCTTGTTGTAATCTTATTTAATTATATTCATTGTTCCATTCCGATTTCTGTACGGGGCCTTAAGGCCTTATGCTGCTTTAATTTTCTCCTTCCATTGCTTTTATATAATACCCCAAATCTCTCGGGAATCTTATATATTTGTACTGTCTTATTTTTACCTTTTTCCTCTTATTCCGAACTAAAACATTAATATACATAATATATTTTAATACTTTTTTTTTACCACCTCTTCCCTCAGTACCCCCTGTGTCATGTGACGGATTGCCAGACGGGACTTACCTCACAGACCCGTATGACTGCCATCTGTACTACCGTTGTATGTACGGGGAGGCCAGGCATGGCCGCTGTCCGGATGACTTGGTGTGGAATGATGTGTCCATGGCATGTGATCACGTGATCAACGTGGATTGCTCTGGACGAGGACACCAGACGGTCACTGGGAGCACTTCCGGTGTGACGTCAAGCGACTACCCAAGTCCTACACCAACTGTACAGGGTAAAGCTTTCTTTTTGATGGTCGTTTGGACAGAGAAGCTATGTGTACACATGATGAGCACGTGGAGTCTTGTGTTGGGGTCCTGTTTGTGTCTGAAGTCTATATTGTCACTTGTCTTCTGCAACATGTTTATGGAGGAATAATAGAATTGAAGATAAATACATGTCTTTAAAACTAATGGTGATTATGATGACAATGATGATGACGATAATGATGATGATGATTTGGTGATTATGAAGCGTCGAAGGAGTAGGAGTAGACAAAGGAGGAGGACGTAGAGAGAGAGTGGAGGGGGAAGACAAACATGATGATAACACTAACAAGAGAACAGCAACAAATATGTTGGTGAAAATCAGAAACACAGATTTAAAATCTGGTTGTTAACACAATGCTTTCTACACCTTTCCCCTGTAGCCTACTCCTGCGTGGACAAGGTGGACGGAGGCTACTACCCGGATCCCACCAACTGTTATGGCTACTATTACTGTTCCAACGGGGTACCCTACCCCCAGACCTGTGTGGGCGGACAGCACTTCAATCCTGTGACAGTTTCTTGTGACGATGCCGTCAACGTGCTTTGTGTTATTGGCACCACACTAGGTAAATGTTAAGTTGTGAAATTCTGGCTTTTTGTTTTTTAAAACTTTTTTCTTTCTATAGTCGTTCCTTTTTGTTTTGGTTTATATCCCCTCTCTCTCCAGTAAAAGTATTCTTTTTCTTAAATCCATTCTTGTTGTAATCTTATTTAATTATATTCATTGTTCCATTCCGATTTCTGTACGGGGCCTTAAGGCCTTATGCTGCTTTAATTTTCTCCTTCCATTGCTTTTATATAATACCCCAAATCTCTCGGGAATCTTATATATTTGTACTGTCTTATTTTTACCTTTTTCCTCTTATTCCGAGCTAAAACATTAATATACATAATATATTTTAATACTTTTTTTTTACCACCTCTTCCCTCAGTACCCCCTGTGTCATGTGACGGATTGCCAGACGGGACTTACCTCACAGACCCGTATGACTGCCATCTGTACTACCGTTGTATGTACGGGGAGGCCAGGCATGGCCGCTGTCCGGATGACTTGGTGTGGAATGATGTGTCCATGGCATGTGATCACGTGATCAACGTGGATTGCTCTGGACGAGGACACCAGACGGTCACTGGGAGCACTTCCGGTGTGACGTCAAGCGACTACCCAAGTCCTACACCAACTGTACAGGGTAAAGCTTTCTTTTTGATGGTCGTTTGGACAGAGAAGCTATGTGTACACATGATGAGCACGTGGAGTCTTGTGTTGGGGTCCTGTTTGTGTCTGAAGTCTATATTGTCACTTGTCTTCTGCAACATGTTTATGGAGGAATAATAGAATTGAAGATAAATACATGTCTTTAAAACTAATGGTGATTATGATGACAATGATGATGACGATAATGATGATGATGATTTGGTGATTATGAAGCGTCGAAGGAGTAGGAGTAGACAAAGGAGGAGGACGTAGAGAGAGAGTGGAGGGGGAAGACAAACATGATGATAACACTAACAAGAGAACAGCAACAAATATGTTGGTGAAAATCAGAAACACAGATTTAAAATCTGGTTGTTAACACAATGCTTTCTACACCTTTCCCCTGTAGCCTACTCCTGCGTGGACAAGGTGGACGGAGGCTACTACCCGGATCCCACCAACTGTTATGGCTACTATTACTGTTCCAACGGGGTACCCTACCCCCAGACCTGTGTGGGCGGACAGCACTTCAATCCTGTGACAGTTTCTTGTGACGATGCCGTCAACGTGCTTTGTGTTATTGGCACCACACTAGGTAAATGTTAAGTTGTGAAATTCTGGCTTTTTGTTTTTTAAAACTTTTTTCTTTCTATAGTCGTTCCTTTTTGTTTTGGTTTATATCCCCTCTCTCTCCAGTAAAAGTATTCTTTTTCTTAAATCCATTCTTGTTGTAATCTTATTTAATTATATTCATTGTTCCATTCCGATTTCTGTACGGGGCCTTAAGGCCTTATGCTGCTTTAATTTTCTCCTTCCATTGCTTTTATATAATACCCCAAATCTCTCGGGAATCTTATATATTTGTACTGTCTTATTTTTACCTTTTTCCTCTTATTCCGAACTAAAACATTAATATACATAATATATTTTAATACTTTTTTTTTACCACCTCTTCCCTCAGTACCCCCTGTGTCATGTGACGGATTGCCAGACGGGACTTACCTCACAGACCCGTATGACTGCCATCTGTACTACCGTTGTATGTACGGGGAGGCCAGGCATGGCCGCTGTCCGGATGACTTGGTGTGGAATGATGTGTCCATGGCATGTGATCACGTGATCAACGTGGATTGCTCTGGACGAGGACACCAGACGGTCACTGGGAGCACTTCCGGTGTGACGTCAAGCGACTACCCAAGTCCTACACCAACTGTACAGGGTAAAGCTTTCTTTTTGATGGTCGTTTGGACAGAGAAGCTATGTGTACACATGATGAGCACGTGGAGTCTTGTGTTGGGGTCCTGTTTGTGTCTGAAGTCTATATTGTCACTTGTCTTCTGCAACATGTTTATGGAGGAATAATAGAATTGAAGATAAATACATGTCTTTAAAACTAATGGTGATTATGATGACAATGATGATGACGATAATGATGATGATGATTTGGTGATTATGAAGCGTCGAAGGAGTAGGAGTAGACAAAGGAGGAGGACGTAGAGAGAGAGTGGAGGGGGAAGACAAACATGATGATAACACTAACAAGAGAACAGCAACAAATATGTTGGTGAAAATCAGAAACACAGATTTAAAATCTGGTTGTTAACACAATGCTTTCTACACCTTTCCCCTGTAGCCTACTCCTGCGTGGACAAGATGGACGGAGGCTACTACCCGGATCCCACCAACTGTTATGGCTACTATTACTGTTCCAACGGGGTACCCTACCCCCAGACCTGTGTGGGCGGACAGCACTTCAATCCTGTGACAGTTTCTTGTGACGATGCCGTCAACGTGCTTTGTGTTATTGGCACCACACTAGGTAAATGTTAAGTTGTGAAATTCTGGCTTTTTGTTTTTTAAAACTTTTTTCTTTCTATAGTCGTTCCTTTTTGTTTTGGTTTATATCCCCTCTCTCTCCAGTAAAAGTATTCTTTTTCTTAAATCCATTCTTGTTGTAATCTTATTTAATTATATTCATTGTTCCATTCCGATTTCTGTACGGGGCCTTAAGGCCTTATGCTGCTTTAATTTTCTCCTTCCATTGCTTTTATATAATACCCCAAATCTCTCGGGAATCTTATATATTTGTACTGTCTTATTTTTACCTTTTTCCTCTTATTCCGAGCTAAAACATTAATATACATAATATATTTTAATACTTTTTTTTTACCACCTCTTCCCTCAGTACCCCCTGTGTCATGTGACGGATTGCCAGACGGGACTTACCTCACAGACCCGTATGACTGCCATCTGTACTACCGTTGTATGTACGGGGAGGCCAGGCATGGCCGCTGTCCGGATGACTTGGTGTGGAATGATGTGTCCATGGCATGTGATCACGTGATCAACGTGGATTGCTCTGGACGAGGACACCAGACGGTCACTGGGAGCACTTCCGGTGTGACGTCAAGCGACTACCCAAGTCCTACACCAACTGTACAGGGTAAAGCTTTCTTTTTGATGGTCGTTTGGACAGAGAAGCTATGTGTACACATGATGAGCACGTGGAGTCTTGTGTTGGGGTCCTGTTTGTGTCTGAAGTCTATATTGTCACTTGTCTTCTGCAACATGTTTATGGAGGAATAATAGAATTGAAGATAAATACATGTCTTTAAAACTAATGGTGATTATGATGACAATGATGATGACGATAATGATGATGATGATTTGGTGATTATGAAGCGTCGAAGGAGTAGGAGTAGACAAAGGAGGAGGACGTAGAGAGAGAGTGGAGGGGGAAGACAAACATGATGATAACACTAACAAGAGAACAGCAACAAATATGTTGGTGAAAATCAGAAACACAGATTTAAAATCTGGTTGTTAACACAATGCTTTCTACACCTTTCCCCTGTAGCCTACTCCTGCGTGGACAAGGTGGACGGAGGCTACTACCCGGATCCCACCAACTGTTATGGCTACTATTACTGTTCCAACGGGGTACCCTACCCCCAGACCTGTGTGGGCGGACAGCACTTCAATCCTGTGACAGTTTCTTGTGACGATGCCGTCAACGTGCTTTGTGTTATTGGCACCACACTAGGTAAATGTTAAGTTGTGAAATTCTGGCTTTTTGTTTTTTAAAACTTTTTTCTTTCTATAGTCGTTCCTTTTTGTTTTGGTTTATATCCCCTCTCTCTCCAGTAAAAGTATTCTTTTTCTTAAATCCATTCTTGTTGTAATCTTATTTAATTATATTCATTGTTCCATTCCGATTTCTGTACGGGGCCTTAAGGCCTTATGCTGCTTTAATTTTCTCCTTCCATTGCTTTTATATAATACCCCAAATCTCTCGGGAATCTTATATATTTGTACTGTCTTATTTTTACCTTTTTCCTCTTATTCCGAGCTAAAACATTAATATACATAATATATTTTAATACTTTTTTTTTACCACCTCTTCCCTCAGTACCCCCTGTGTCATGTGACGGATTGCCAGACGGGACTTACCTCACAGACCCGTATGACTGCCATCTGTACTACCGTTGTATGTACGGGGAGGCCAGGCATGGCCGCTGTCCGGATGACTTGGTGTGGAATGATGTGTCCATGGCATGTGATCACGTGATCAACGTGGATTGCTCTGGACGAGGACACCAGACGGTCACTGGGAGCACTTCCGGTGTGACGTCAAGCGACTACCCAAGTCCTACACCAACTGTACAGGGTAAAGCTTTCTTTTTGATGGTCGTTTGGACAGAGAAGCTATGTGTACACATGATGAGCACGTGGAGTCTTGTGTTGGGGTCCTGTTTGTGTCTGAAGTCTATATTGTCACTTGTCTTCTGCAACATGTTTATGGAGGAATAATAGAATTGAAGATAAATACATGTCTTTAAAACTAATGGTGATTATGATGACAATGATGATGACGATAATGATGATGATGATTTGGTGATTATGAAGCGTCGAAGGAGTAGGAGTAGACAAAGGAGGAGGACGTAGAGAGAGAGTGGAGGGGGAAGACAAACATGATGATAACACTAACAAGAGAACAGCAACAAATATGTTGGTGAAAATCAGAAACACAGATTTAAAATCTGGTTGTTAACACAATGCTTTCTACACCTTTCCCCTGTAGCCTACTCCTGCGTGGACAAGATGGACGGAGGCTACTACCCGGATCCCACCAACTGTTATGGCTACTATTACTGTTCCAACGGGGTACCCTACCCCCAGACCTGTGTGGGCGGACAGCACTTCAATCCTGTGACAGTTTCTTGTGACGATGCCGTCAACGTGCTTTGTGTTATTGGCACCACACTAGGTAAATGTTAAGTTGTGAAATTCTGGCTTTTTGTTTTTTAAAACTTTTTTCTTTCTATAGTCGTTCCTTTTTGTTTTGGTTTATATCCCCTCTCTCTCCAGTAAAAGTATTCTTTTTCTTAAATCCATTCTTGTTGTAATCTTATTTAATTATATTCATTGTTCCATTCCGATTTCTGTACGGGGCCTTAAGGCCTTATGCTGCTTTAATTTTCTCCTTCCATTGCTTTTATATAATACCCCAAATCTCTCGGGAATCTTATATATTTGTACTGGCTTATTTTTACCTTTTTCCTCTTATTCCGAACTAAAACATTAATATACATAATATATTTTAATACTTTTTTTTACCACCTCTTCCCTCAGTACCCCCTGTGTCATGTGACGGATTGCCAGACGGGACTTACCTCACAGACCCGTATGACTGCCATCTGTACTACCGTTGTATGTACGGGGAGGCCAGGCATGGCCGCTGTCCGGATGACTTGGTGTGGAATGATGTGTCCATGGCATGTGATCACGTGATCAACGTGGATTGCTCTGGACGAGGACACCAGACGGTCACTGGGAGCACTTCCGGTGTGACGTCAAGCGACTACCCAAGTCCTACACCAACAACAGGGAGCTTTCTTTTTGATGGTCGTTTGGACAGAGAAGCTATGTGTACACATGATGAGCACGTGGAGTCTTGTGTTGGGGTCCTGTTTGTGTATCATTGTGCTGTAAAAGATCCCTCGGACATCCTGTTATGAGTTTGTGTGGTTAATTAAGCCACAGCATATCAGTAATGATGATGATGGTAATGATGATAATGGTGACAATGATAGTGATGATGATTTGATGATTATGAAGCGTCGAAGGAGTAGGAGTAGACAAAGGAGGAGTACGTAGAAAGAGAGTGGAGGGGGAAGACAAACATGATGATAACACTTACAAGAAAACAGCCACAAATATGTTAGGGAAAATCAGAAACCCAGATTTAAAATCTGGTTGTTAACACAATGCTTTCTACACCTTTCCCCTGTAGCCTATTCCTGCGTGGACAAGATGGACGGAGGCTACTACCCGGATCCCACCAACTGTTACGGCTACTATTACTGTTCCAACGGGGTACCCTACCCCCAGACCTGTGTGGGCGGACAGCACTTCAATCCTGTGACAGTTTCTTGTGACGATGACGTCAACGTGCTGTGTATTATTGGCACCACGCCTGGTAAATGTTTAGTTGTGAAATGCCTTCTTAATAAAAAATCATTCTTTTGTGTATGATTCTTATTTTGGTTGATATCGTCTTCTCTTTCCTGTTAAATTATTCTTATTCTTACTTCCATTCTTTTTTGTAATCTCATTCCATGGTCGTCATTGTTCCATTCCGATTTTAATGACATGGTTTTATACTGCTTTGACGATTCTTTTCCATTACTGTTTATACATTTCCCAAATTCTCTTGGGAATCTACTATTCATACCGTCCTTTTTTCAACCCGTTTTAATATACATAATAACCTAAAATAATTTTTTTTTACCACCTCTTCCCTCAGTACCCCCTGTGTCATGTGACGGATTGCCAGACGGGACTTACCTCACAGACCCGTATGACTGCCATCTGTACTACCGTTGTATGTACGGGGAGGCCAGGCATGGCCGCTGTCCGGATGACTTGGTGTGGAATGATGTGTCCATGGCATGTGATCACGTGATCAACGTGGATTGCTCTGGACGAGGACACCAGACGGTCACTGGGAGCACTTCCGGTGTGACGTCAAGTGACTACCCAAGTCCTACACCACCTGCACAGTGTAAAGCTTACTTTTTGATGGTCGTTTGGACAGAGAAGCTATGTGTACACATGATGAGCACGTGGAGTCTTCTATTGGGGTTCTGTTTGTGTCTGAAGTCTATATTGTCACTTGTCTTCTGCAACATGTTTATGGAGGAATAATAGAATTGAAGATAAATACATGTCTTTAAAACTAATGGTGATTATGATGACAATGATGATGACGATAATGATGATGATGATTTGGTGATTATGAAGCGTCGAAGGAGTAGGAGTAGACAAAGGAGGAGGACGTAGAGAGAGAGTGGAGGGGGAAGACAAACATGATGATAACACTAACAAGAGAACAGCAACAAATATGTTGGTGAAAATCAGAAACACAGATTTAAAATCTGGTTGTTAACACAATGCTTTCTACACCTTTCCCCTGTAGCCTACTCCTGCGTGGACAAGGTGGACGGAGGCTACTACCCGGATCCCACCAACTGTTATGGCTACTATTACTGTTCCAACGGGGTACCCTACCCCCAGACCTGTGTGGGCGGACAGCACTTCAATCCTGTGACAGTTTCTTGTGACGATGCCGTCAACGTGCTTTGTGTTATTGGCACCACACTAGGTAAATGTAAAGTTGTGAAATTCTGGCTTTTTGTTTTTTAAAACTTTTTTCTTTCTATAGTCGTTCCTTTTTGTTTTGGTTTATATCCCCTCTCTCTCCAGTAAAAGTATTCTTTTTCTTAAATCCATTCTTGTTGTAATCTTATTTAATTATATTCATTGTTCCATTCCGATTTCTGTACGGGGCCTTAAGGCCTTATGCTGCTTTAATTTTCTCCTTCCATTGCTTTTATATAATACCCCAAATCTCTCGGGAATCTTATATATTTGTACTGTCTTATTTTTGCCTTTTTCCTCTTATTCCGAGCTAAAACATTAATATACATAATATATTTTAATACTTTTTTTTTACCACCTCTTCCCTCAGTACCCCCTGTGTCATGTGACGGATTGCCAGACGGGACTTACCTCACAGACCCGTATGACTGCCATCTGTACTACCGTTGTATGTACGGGGAGGCCAGGCATGGCCGCTGTCCGGATGACTTGGTGTGGAATGATGTGTCCATGGCATGTGATCACGTGATCAACGTGGATTGCTCTGGACGAGGACACCAGACGGTCACTGGGAGCACTTCCGGTGTGACGTCAAGCGACTACCCAAGTCCTACACCAACTGTACAGGGTAAAGCTTTCTTTTTGATGGTCGTTTGGACAGAGAAGCTATGTGTACACATGATGAGCACGTGGAGTCTTGTGTTGGGGTCCTGTTTGTGTCTGAAGTCTATATTGTCACTTGTCTTCTGCAACATGTTTATGGAGGAATAATAGAATTGAAGATAAATACATGTCTTTAAAACTAATGGTGATTATGATGACAATGATGATGACGATAATGATGATGATGATTTGGTGATTATGAAGCGTCGAAGGAGTAGGAGTAGACAAAGGAGGAGGACGTAGAGAGAGAGTGGAGGGGGAAGACAAACATGATGATAACACTAACAAGAGAACAGCAACAAATATGTTGGTGAAAATCAGAAACACAGATTTAAAATCTGGTTGTTAACACAATGCTTTCTACACCTTTCCCCTGTAGCCTACTCCTGCGTGGACAAGATGGACGGAGGCTACTACCCGGATCCCACCAACTGTTATGGCTACTATTACTGTTCCAACGGGGTACCCTACCCCCAGACCTGTGTGGGCGGACAGCACTTCAATCCTGTGACAGTTTCTTGTGACGATGCCGTCAACGTGCTTTGTGTTATTGGCACCACACTAGGTAAATGTTAAGTTGTGAAATTCTGGCTTTTTGTTTTTTAAAACTTTTTTCTTTCTATAGTCGTTCCTTTTTGTTTTGGTTTATATCCCCTCTCTCTCCAGTAAAAGTATTCTTTTTCTTAAATCCATTCTTGTTGTAATCTTATTTAATTATATTCATTGTTCCATTCCGATTTCTGTACGGGGCCTTAAGGCCTTATGCTGCTTTAATTTTCTCCTTCCATTGCTTTTATATAATACCCCAAATCTCTCGGGAATCTTATATATTTGTACTGTCTTATTTTTGCCTTTTTCCTCTTATTCCGAGCTAAAACATTAATATACATAATATATTTTAATACTTTTTTTTTACCACCTCTTCCCTCAGTACCCCCTGTGTCATGTGACGGATTGCCAGACGGGACTTACCTCACAGACCCGTATGACTGCCATCTGTACTACCGTTGTATGTACGGGGAGGCCAGGCATGGCCGCTGTCCGGATGACTTGGTGTGGAATGATGTGTCCATGGCATGTGATCACGTGATCAACGTGGATTGCTCTGGACGAGGACACCAGACGGTCACTGGGAGCACTTCCGGTGTGACGTCAAGCGACTACCCAAGTCCTACACCAACTGTACAGGGTAAAGCTTTCTTTTTGATGGTCGTTTGGACAGAGAAGCTATGTGTACACATGATGAGCACGTGGAGTCTTGTGTTGGGGTCCTGTTTGTGTCTGAAGTCTATATTGTCACTTGTCTTCTGCAACATGTTTATGGAGGAATAATAGAATTGAAGATAAATACATGTCTTTAAAACTAATGGTGATTATGATGACAATGATGATGACGATAATGATGATGATGATTTGGTGATTATGAAGCGTCGAAGGAGTAGGAGTAGACAAAGGAGGAGGACGTAGAGAGAGAGTGGAGGGGGAAGACAAACATGATGATAACACTAACAAGAGAACAGCAACAAATATGTTGGTGAAAATCAGAAACACAGATTTAAAATCTGGTTGTTAACACAATGCTTTCTACACCTTTCCCCTGTAGCCTACTCCTGCGTGGACAAGATGGACGGAGGCTACTACCCGGATCCCACCAACTGTTATGGCTACTATTACTGTTCCAACGGGGTACCCTACCCCCAGACCTGTGTGGGCGGACAGCACTTCAATCCTGTGACAGTTTCTTGTGACGATGCCGTCAACGTGCTTTGTGTTATTGGCACCACACTAGGTAAATGTTAAGTTGTGAAATTCTGGCTTTTTGTTTTTTAAAACTTTTTTCTTTCTATAGTCGTTCCTTTTTGTTTTGGTTTATATCCCCTCTCTCTCCAGTAAAAGTATTCTTTTTCTTAAATCCATTCTTGTTGTAATCTTATTTAATTATATTCATTGTTCCATTCCGATTTCTGTACGGGGCCTTAAGGCCTTATGCTGCTTTAATTTTCTCCTTCCATTGCTTTTATATAATACCCCAAATCTCTCGGGAATCTTATATATTTGTACTGTCTTATTTTTGCCTTTTTCCTCTTATTCCGAGCTAAAACATTAATATACATAATATATTTTAATACTTTTTTTTTACCACCTCTTCCCTCAGTACCCCCTGTGTCATGTGACGGATTGCCAGACGGGACTTACCTCACAGACCCGTATGACTGCCATCTGTACTACCGTTGTATGTACGGGGAGGCCAGGCATGGCCGCTGTCCGGATGACTTGGTGTGGAATGATGTGTCCATGGCATGTGATCACGTGATCAACGTGGATTGCTCTGGACGAGGACACCAGACGGTCACTGGGAGCACTTCCGGTGTGACGTCAAGCGACTACCCAAGTCCTACACCAACTGTACAGGGTAAAGCTTTCTTTTTGATGGTCGTTTGGACAGAGAAGCTATGTGTACACATGATGAGCACGTGGAGTCTTGTGTTGGGGTCCTGTTTGTGTCTGAAGTCTATATTGTCACTTGTCTTCTGCAACATGTTTATGGAGGAATAATAGAATTGAAGATAAATACATGTCTTTAAAACTAATGGTGATTATGATGACAATGATGATGACGATAATGATGATGATGATTTGGTGATTATGAAGCGTCGAAGGAGTAGGAGTAGACAAAGGAGGAGGACGTAGAGAGAGAGTGGAGGGGGAAGACAAACATGATGATAACACTAACAAGAGAACAGCAACAAATATGTTGGTGAAAATCAGAAACACAGATTTAAAATCTGGTTGTTAACACAATGCTTTCTACACCTTTCCCCTGTAGCCTACTCCTGCGTGGACAAGATGGACGGAGGCTACTACCCGGATCCCACCAACTGTTATGGCTACTATTACTGTTCCAACGGGGTACCCTACCCCCAGACCTGTGTGGGCGGACAGCACTTCAATCCTGTGACAGTTTCTTGTGACGATGCCGTCAACGTGCTTTGTGTTATTGGCACCACACTAGGTAAATGTTAAGTTGTGAAATTCTGGCTTTTTGTTTTTTAAAACTTTTTTCTTTCTATAGTCGTTCCTTTTTGTTTTGGTTTATATCCCCTCTCTCTCCAGTAAAAGTATTCTTTTTCTTAAATCCATTCTTGTTGTAATCTTATTTAATTATATTCATTGTTCCATTCCGATTTCTGTACGGGGCCTTAAGGCCTTATGCTGCTTTAATTTTCTCCTTCCATTGCTTTTATATAATACCCCAAATCTCTCGGGAATCTTATATATTTGTACTGTCTTATTTTTACCTTTTTCCTCTTATTCCGAACTAAAACATTAATATACATAATATATTTTAATACTTTTTTTTTACCACCTCTTCCCTCAGTACCCCCTGTGTCATGTGACGGATTGCCAGACGGGACTTACCTCACAGACCCGTATGACTGCCATCTGTACTACCGTTGTATGTACGGGGAGGCCAGGCATGGCCGCTGTCCGGATGACTTGGTGTGGAATGATGTGTCCATGGCATGTGATCACGTGATCAACGTGGATTGCTCTGGACGAGGACACCAGACGGTCACTGGGAGCACTTCCGGTGTGACGTCAAGCGACTACCCAAGTCCTACACCAACTGTACAGGGTAAAGCTTTCTTTTTGATGGTCGTTTGGACAGAGAAGCTATGTGTACACATGATGAGCACGTGGAGTCTTGTGTTGGGGTCCTGTTTGTGTCTGAAGTCTATATTGTCACTTGTCTTCTGCAACATGTTTATGGAGGAATAATAGAATTGAAGATAAATACATGTCTTTAAAACTAATGGTGATTATGATGACAATGATGATGACGATAATGATGATGATGATTTGGTGATTATGAAGCGTCGAAGGAGTAGGAGTAGACAAAGGAGGAGGACGTAGAGAGAGAGTGGAGGGGGAAGACAAACATGATGATAACACTAACAAGAGAACAGCAACAAATATGTTGGTGAAAATCAGAAACACAGATTTAAAATCTGGTTGTTAACACAATGCTTTCTACACCTTTCCCCTGTAGCCTACTCCTGCGTGGACAAGGTGGACGGAGGCTACTACCCGGATCCCACCAACTGTTATGGCTACTATTACTGTTCCAACGGGGTACCCTACCCCCAGACCTGTGTGGGCGGACAGCACTTCAATCCTGTGACAGTTTCTTGTGACGATGCCGTCAACGTGCTTTGTGTTATTGGCACCACACTAGGTAAATGTTAAGTTGTGAAATTCTGGCTTTTTGTTTTTTAAAACTTTTTTCTTTCTATAGTCGTTCCTTTTTGTTTTGGTTTATATCCCCTCTCTCTCCAGTAAAAGTATTCTTTTTCTTAAATCCATTCTTGTTGTAATCTTATTTAATTATATTCATTGTTCCATTCCGATTTCTGTACGGGGCCTTAAGGCCTTATGCTGCTTTAATTTTCTCCTTCCATTGCTTTTATATAATACCCCAAATCTCTCGGGAATCTTATATATTTGTACTGTCTTATTTTTACCTTTTTCCTCTTATTCCGAACTAAAACATTAATATACATAATATATTTTAATACTTTTTTTTTACCACCTCTTCCCTCAGTACCCCCTGTGTCATGTGACGGATTGCCAGACGGGACTTACCTCACAGACCCGTATGACTGCCATCTGTACTACCGTTGTATGTACGGGGAGGCCAGGCATGGCCGCTGTCCGGATGACTTGGTGTGGAATGATGTGTCCATGGCATGTGATCACGTGATCAACGTGGATTGCTCTGGACGAGGACACCAGACGGTCACTGGGAGCACTTCCGGTGTGACGTCAAGCGACTACCCAAGTCCTACACCAACTGTACAGGGTAAAGCTTTCTTTTTGATGGTCGTTTGGACAGAGAAGCTATGTGTACACATGATGAGCACGTGGAGTCTTGTGTTGGGGTCCTGTTTGTGTCTGAAGTCTATATTGTCACTTGTCTTCTGCAACATGTTTATGGAGGAATAATAGAATTGAAGATAAATACATGTCTTTAAAACTAATGGTGATTATGATGACAATGATGATGACGATAATGATGATGATGATTTGGTGATTATGAAGCGTCGAAGGAGTAGGAGTAGACAAAGGAGGAGGACGTAGAGAGAGAGTGGAGGGGGAAGACAAACATGATGATAACACTAACAAGAGAACAGCAACAAATATGTTGGTGAAAATCAGAAACACAGATTTAAAATCTGGTTGTTAACACAATGCTTTCTACACCTTTCCCCTGTAGCCTACTCCTGCGTGGACAAGATGGACGGAGGCTACTACCCGGATCCCACCAACTGTTATGGCTACTATTACTGTTCCAACGGGGTACCCTACCCCCAGACCTGTGTGGGCGGACAGCACTTCAATCCTGTGACAGTTTCTTGTGACGATGCCGTCAACGTGCTTTGTGTTATTGGCACCACACTAGGTAAATGTTAAGTTGTGAAATTCTGGCTTTTTGTTTTTTAAAACTTTTTTCTTTCTATAGTCGTTCCTTTTTGTTTTGGTTTATATCCCCTCTCTCTCCAGTAAAAGTATTCTTTTTCTTAAATCCATTCTTGTTGTAATCTTATTTAATTATATTCATTGTTCCATTCCGATTTCTGTACGGGCCTTAAGGCCTTATGCTGCTTTAATTTTCTCCTTCCATTGCTTTTATATAATACCCCAAATCTCTCGGGAATCTTATATATTTGTACTGTCTTATTTTTACCTTTTTCCTCTTATTCCGAACTAAAACATTAATATACATAATATATTTTAATACTTTTTTTTTACCACCTCTTCCCTCAGTACCCCCTGTGTCATGTGACGGATTGCCAGACGGGACTTACCTCACAGACCCGTATGACTGCCATCTGTACTACCGTTGTATGTACGGGGAGGCCAGGCATGGCCGCTGTCCGGATGACTTGGTGTGGAATGATGTGTCCATGGCATGTGATCACGTGATCAACGTGGATTGCTCTGGACGAGGACACCAGACGGTCACTGGGAGCACTTCCGGTGTGACGTCAAGCGACTACCCAAGTCCTACACCAACTGTACAGGGTAAAGCTTTCTTTTTGATGGTCGTTTGGACAGAGAAGCTATGTGTACACATGATGAGCACGTGGAGTCTTGTGTTGGGGTCCTGTTTGTGTCTGAAGTCTATATTGTCACTTGTCTTCTGCAACATGTTTATGGAGGAATAATAGAATTGAAGATAAATACATGTCTTTAAAACTAATGGTGATTATGATGACAATGATGATGACGATAATGATGATGATGATTTGGTGATTATGAAGCGTCGAAGGAGTAGGAGTAGACAAAGGAGGAGGACGTAGAGAGAGAGTGGAGGGGGAAGACAAACATGATGATAACACTAACAAGAGAACAGCAACAAATATGTTGGTGAAAATCAGAAACACAGATTTAAAATCTGGTTGTTAACACAATGCTTTCTACACCTTTCCCCTGTAGCCTACTCCTGCGTGGACAAGATGGACGGAGGCTACTACCCGGATCCCACCAACTGTTATGGCTACTATTACTGTTCCAACGGGGTACCCTACCCCCAGACCTGTGTGGGCGGACAGCACTTCAATCCTGTGACAGTTTCTTGTGACGATGCCGTCAACGTGCTTTGTGTTATTGGCACCACACTAGGTAAATGTTAAGTTGTGAAATTCTGGCTTTTTGTTTTTTAAAACTTTTTTCTTTCTATAGTCGTTCCTTTTTGTTTTGGTTTATATCCCCTCTCTCTCCAGTAAAAGTATTCTTTTTCTTAAATCCATTCTTGTTGTAATCTTATTTAATTATATTCATTGTTCCATTCCGATTTCTGTACGGGGCCTTAAGGCCTTATGCTGCTTTAATTTTCTCCTTCCATTGCTTTTATATAATACCCCAAATCTCTCGGGAATCTTATATATTTGTACTGTCTTATTTTTACCTTTTTCCTCTTATTCCGAACTAAAACATTAATATACATAATATATTTTAATACTTTTTTTTTACCACCTCTTCCCTCAGTACCCCCTGTGTCATGTGACGGATTGCCAGACGGGACTTACCTCACAGACCCGTATGACTGCCATCTGTACTACCGTTGTATGTACGGGGAGGCCAGGCATGGCCGCTGTCCGGATGACTTGGTGTGGAATGATGTGTCCATGGCATGTGATCACGTGATCAACGTGGATTGCTCTGGACGAGGACACCAGACGGTCACTGGGAGCACTTCCGGTGTGACGTCAAGCGACTACCCAAGTCCTACACCAACTGTACAGGGTAAAGCTTTCTTTTTGATGGTCGTTTGGACAGAGAAGCTATGTGTACACATGATGAGCACGTGGAGTCTTGTGTTGGGGTCCTGTTTGTGTCTGAAGTCTATATTGTCACTTGTCTTCTGCAACATGTTTATGGAGGAATAATAGAATTGAAGATAAATACATGTCTTTAAAACTAATGGTGATTATGATGACAATGATGATGACGATAATGATGATGATGATTTGGTGATTATGAAGCGTCGAAGGAGTAGGAGTAGACAAAGGAGGAGGACGTAGAGAGAGAGTGGAGGGGGAAGACAAACATGATGATAACACTAACAAGAGAACAGCAACAAATATGTTGGTGAAAATCAGAAACACAGATTTAAAATCTGGTTGTTAACACAATGCTTTCTACACCTTTCCCCTGTAGCCTACTCCTGCGTGGACAAGATGGACGGAGGCTACTACCCGGATCCCACCAACTGTTATGGCTACTATTACTGTTCCAACGGGGTACCCTACCCCCAGACCTGTGTGGGCGGACAGCACTTCAATCCTGTGACAGTTTCTTGTGACGATGCCGTCAACGTGCTTTGTGTTATTGGCACCACACTAGGTAAATGTTAAGTTGTGAAATTCTGGCTTTTTGTTTTTTAAAACTTTTTTCTTTCTATAGTCGTTCCTTTTTGTTTTGGTTTATATCCCCTCTCTCTCCAGTAAAAGTATTCTTTTTCTTAAATCCATTCTTGTTGTAATCTTATTTAATTATATTCATTGTTCCATTCCGATTTCTGTACGGGGCCTTAAGGCCTTATGCTGCTTTAATTTTCTCCTTCCATTGCTTTTATATAATACCCCAAATCTCTCGGGAATCTTATATATTTGTACTGTCTTATTTTTACCTTTTTCCTCTTATTCCGAACTAAAACATTAATATACATAATATATTTTAATACTTTTTTTTTACCACCTCTTCCCTCAGTACCCCCTGTGTCATGTGACGGATTGCCAGACGGGACTTACCTCACAGACCCGTATGACTGCCATCTGTACTACCGTTGTATGTACGGGGAGGCCAGGCATGGCCGCTGTCCGGATGACTTGGTGTGGAATGATGTGTCCATGGCATGTGATCACGTGATCAACGTGGATTGCTCTGGACGAGGACACCAGACGGTCACTGGGAGCACTTCCGGTGTGACGTCAAGCGACTACCCAAGTCCTACACCAACTGTACAGGGTAAAGCTTTCTTTTTGATGGTCGTTTGGACAGAGAAGCTATGTGTACACATGATGAGCACGTGGAGTCTTGTGTTGGGGTCCTGTTTGTGTCTGAAGTCTATATTGTCACTTGTCTTCTGCAACATGTTTATGGAGGAATAATAGAATTGAAGATAAATACATGTCTTTAAAACTAATGGTGATTATGATGACAATGATGATGACGATAATGATGATGATGATTTGGTGATTATGAAGCGTCGAAGGAGTAGGAGTAGACAAAGGAGGAGGACGTAGAGAGAGAGTGGAGGGGGAAGACAAACATGATGATAACACTAACAAGAGAACAGCAACAAATATGTTGGTGAAAATCAGAAACACAGATTTAAAATCTGGTTGTTAACACAATGCTTTCTACACCTTTCCCCTGTAGCCTACTCCTGCGTGGACAAGATGGACGGAGGCTACTACCCGGATCCCACCAACTGTTATGGCTACTATTACTGTTCCAACGGGGTACCCTACCCCCAGACCTGTGTGGGCGGACAGCACTTCAATCCTGTGACAGTTTCTTGTGACGATGCCGTCAACGTGCTTTGTGTTATTGGCACCACACTAGGTAAATGTTAAGTTGTGAAATTCTGGCTTTTTGTTTTTTAAAACTTTTTTCTTTCTATAGTCGTTCCTTTTTGTTTTGGTTTATATCCCCTCTCTCTCCAGTAAAAGTATTCTTTTTCTTAAATCCATTCTTGTTGTAATCTTATTTAATTATATTCATTGTTCCATTCCGATTTCTGTACGGGGCCTTAAGGCCTTATGCTGCTTTAATTTTCTCCTTCCATTGCTTTTATATAATACCCCAAATCTCTCGGGAATCTTATATATTTGTACTGTCTTATTTTTACCTTTTTCCTCTTATTCCGAACTAAAACATTAATATACATAATATATTTTAATACTTTTTTTTTACCACCTCTTCCCTCAGTACCCCCTGTGTCATGTGACGGATTGCCAGACGGGACTTACCTCACAGACCCGTATGACTGCCATCTGTACTACCGTTGTATGTACGGGGAGGCCAGGCATGGCCGCTGTCCGGATGACTTGGTGTGGAATGATGTGTCCATGGCATGTGATCACGTGATCAACGTGGATTGCTCTGGACGAGGACACCAGACGGTCACTGGGAGCACTTCCGGTGTGACGTCAAGCGACTACCCAAGTCCTACACCAACTGTACAGGGTAAAGCTTTCTTTTTGATGGTCGTTTGGACAGAGAAGCTATGTGTACACATGATGAGCACGTGGAGTCTTGTGTTGGGGTCCTGTTTGTGTCTGAAGTCTATATTGTCACTTGTCTTCTGCAACATGTTTATGGAGGAATAATAGAATTGAAGATAAATACATGTCTTTAAAACTAATGGTGATTATGATGACAATGATGATGACGATAATGATGATGATGATTTGGTGATTATGAAGCGTCGAAGGAGTAGGAGTAGACAAAGGAGGAGGACGTAGAGAGAGAGTGGAGGGGGAAGACAAACATGATGATAACACTAACAAGAGAACAGCAACAAATATGTTGGTGAAAATCAGAAACACAGATTTAAAATCTGGTTGTTAACACAATGCTTTCTACACCTTTCCCCTGTAGCCTACTCCTGCGTGGACAAGATGGACGGAGGCTACTACCCGGATCCCACCAACTGTTATGGCTACTATTACTGTTCCAACGGGGTACCCTACCCCCAGACCTGTGTGGGCGGACAGCACTTCAATCCTGTGACAGTTTCTTGTGACGATGCCGTCAACGTGCTTTGTGTTATTGGCACCACACTAGGTAAATGTTAAGTTGTGAAATTCTGGCTTTTTGTTTTTTAAAACTTTTTTCTTTCTATAGTCGTTCCTTTTTGTTTTGGTTTATATCCCCTCTCTCTCCAGTAAAAGTATTCTTTTTCTTAAATCCATTCTTGTTGTAATCTTATTTAATTATATTCATTGTTCCATTCCGATTTCTGTACGGGGCCTTAAGGCCTTATGCTGCTTTAATTTTCTCCTTCCATTGCTTTTATATAATACCCCAAATCTCTCGGGAATCTTATATATTTGTACTGTCTTATTTTTACCTTTTTCCTCTTATTCCGAACTAAAACATTAATATACATAATATATTTTAATACTTTTTTTTTACCACCTCTTCCCTCAGTACCCCCTGTGTCATGTGACGGATTGCCAGACGGGACTTACCTCACAGACCCGTATGACTGCCATCTGTACTACCGTTGTATGTACGGGGAGGCCAGGCATGGCCGCTGTCCGGATGACTTGGTGTGGAATGATGTGTCCATGGCATGTGATCACGTGATCAACGTGGATTGCTCTGGACGAGGACACCAGACGGTCACTGGGAGCACTTCCGGTGTGACGTCAAGCGACTACCCAAGTCCTACACCAACTGTACAGGGTAAAGCTTTCTTTTTGATGGTCGTTTGGACAGAGAAGCTATGTGTACACATGATGAGCACGTGGAGTCTTGTGTTGGGGTCCTGTTTGTGTCTGAAGTCTATATTGTCACTTGTCTTCTGCAACATGTTTATGGAGGAATAATAGAATTGAAGATAAATACATGTCTTTAAAACTAATGGTGATTATGATGACAATGATGATGACGATAATGATGATGATGATTTGGTGATTATGAAGCGTCGAAGGAGTAGGAGTAGACAAAGGAGGAGGACGTAGAGAGAGAGTGGAGGGGGAAGACAAACATGATGATAACACTAACAAGAGAACAGCAACAAATATGTTGGTGAAAATCAGAAACACAGATTTAAAATCTGGTTGTTAACACAATGCTTTCTACACCTTTCCCCTGTAGCCTACTCCTGCGTGGACAAGATGGACGGAGGCTACTACCCGGATCCCACCAACTGTTATGGCTACTATTACTGTTCCAACGGGGTACCCTACCCCCAGACCTGTGTGGGCGGACAGCACTTCAATCCTGTGACAGTTTCTTGTGACGATGCCGTCAACGTGCTTTGTGTTATTGGCACCACACTAGGTAAATGTTAAGTTGTGAAATTCTGGCTTTTTGTTTTTTAAAACTTTTTTCTTTCTATAGTCGTTCCTTTTTGTTTTGGTTTATATCCCCTCTCTCTCCAGTAAAAGTATTCTTTTTCTTAAATCCATTCTTGTTGTAATCTTATTTAATTATATTCATTGTTCCATTCCGATTTCTGTACGGGGCCTTAAGGCCTTATGCTGCTTTAATTTTCTCCTTCCATTGCTTTTATATAATACCCCAAATCTCTCGGGAATCTTATATATTTGTACTGTCTTATTTTTACCTTTTTCCTCTTATTCCGAACTAAAACATTAATATACATAATATATTTTAATACTTTTTTTTTACCACCTCTTCCCTCAGTACCCCCTGTGTCATGTGACGGATTGCCAGACGGGACTTACCTCACAGACCCGTATGACTGCCATCTGTACTACCGTTGTATGTACGGGGAGGCCAGGCATGGCCGCTGTCCGGATGACTTGGTGTGGAATGATGTGTCCATGGCATGTGATCACGTGATCAACGTGGATTGCTCTGGACGAGGACACCAGACGGTCACTGGGAGCACTTCCGGTGTGACGTCAAGCGACTACCCAAGTCCTACACCAACTGTACAGGGTAAAGCTTTCTTTTTGATGGTCGTTTGGACAGAGAAGCTATGTGTACACATGATGAGCACGTGGAGTCTTGTGTTGGGGTCCTGTTTGTGTCTGAAGTCTATATTGTCACTTGTCTTCTGCAACATGTTTATGGAGGAATAATAGAATTGAAGATAAATACATGTCTTTAAAACTAATGGTGATTATGATGACAATGATGATGACGATAATGATGATGATGATTTGGTGATTATGAAGCGTCGAAGGAGTAGGAGTAGACAAAGGAGGAGGACGTAGAGAGAGAGTGGAGGGGGAAGACAAACATGATGATAACACTAACAAGAGAACAGCAACAAATATGTTGGTGAAAATCAGAAACACAGATTTAAAATCTGGTTGTTAACACAATGCTTTCTACACCTTTCCCCTGTAGCCTACTCCTGCGTGGACAAGATGGACGGAGGCTACTACCCGGATCCCACCAACTGTTATGGCTACTATTACTGTTCCAACGGGGTACCCTACCCCCAGACCTGTGTGGGCGGACAGCACTTCAATCCTGTGACAGTTTCTTGTGACGATGCCGTCAACGTGCTTTGTGTTATTGGCACCACACTAGGTAAATGTTAAGTTGTGAAATTCTGGCTTTTTGTTTTTTAAAACTTTTTTCTTTCTATAGTCGTTCCTTTTTGTTTTGGTTTATATCCCCTCTCTCTCCAGTAAAAGTATTCTTTTTCTTAAATCCATTCTTGTTGTAATCTTATTTAATTATATTCATTGTTCCATTCCGATTTCTGTACGGGGCCTTAAGGCCTTATGCTGCTTTAATTTTCTCCTTCCATTGCTTTTATATAATACCCCAAATCTCTCGGGAATCTTATATATTTGTACTGTCTTATTTTTACCTTTTTCCTCTTATTCCGAACTAAAACATTAATATACATAATATATTTTAATACTTTTTTTTTACCACCTCTTCCCTCAGTACCCCCTGTGTCATGTGACGGATTGCCAGACGGGACTTACCTCACAGACCCGTATGACTGCCATCTGTACTACCGTTGTATGTACGGGGAGGCCAGGCATGGCCGCTGTCCGGATGACTTGGTGTGGAATGATGTGTCCATGGCATGTGATCACGTGATCAACGTGGATTGCTCTGGACGAGGACACCAGACGGTCACTGGGAGCACTTCCGGTGTGACGTCAAGCGACTACCCAAGTCCTACACCAACTGTACAGGGTAAAGCTTTCTTTTTGATGGTCGTTTGGACAGAGAAGCTATGTGTACACATGATGAGCACGTGGAGTCTTGTGTTGGGGTCCTGTTTGTGTCTGAAGTCTATATTGTCACTTGTCTTCTGCAACATGTTTATGGAGGAATAATAGAATTGAAGATAAATACATGTCTTTAAAACTAATGGTGATTATGATGACAATGATGATGACGATAATGATGATGATGATTTGGTGATTATGAAGCGTCGAAGGAGTAGGAGTAGACAAAGGAGGAGGACGTAGAGAGAGAGTGGAGGGGGAAGACAAACATGATGATAACACTAACAAGAGAACAGCAACAAATATGTTGGTGAAAATCAGAAACACAGATTTAAAATCTGGTTGTTAACACAATGCTTTCTACACCTTTCCCCTGTAGCCTACTCCTGCGTGGACAAGATGGACGGAGGCTACTACCCGGATCCCACCAACTGTTATGGCTACTATTACTGTTCCAACGGGGTACCCTACCCCCAGACCTGTGTGGGCGGACAGCACTTCAATCCTGTGACAGTTTCTTGTGACGATGCCGTCAACGTGCTTTGTGTTATTGGCACCACACTAGGTAAATGTTAAGTTGTGAAATTCTGGCTTTTTGTTTTTTAAAACTTTTTTCTTTCTATAGTCGTTCCTTTTTGTTTTGGTTTATATCCCCTCTCTCTCCAGTAAAAGTATTCTTTTTCTTAAATCCATTCTTGTTGTAATCTTATTTAATTATATTCATTGTTCCATTCCGATTTCTGTACGGGGCCTTAAGGCCTTATGCTGCTTTAATTTTCTCCTTCCATTGCTTTTATATAATACCCCAAATCTCTCGGGAATCTTATATATTTGTACTGTCTTATTTTTACCTTTTTCCTCTTATTCCGAACTAAAACATTAATATACATAATATATTTTAATACTTTTTTTTTACCACCTCTTCCCTCAGTACCCCCTGTGTCATGTGACGGATTGCCAGACGGGACTTACCTCACAGACCCGTATGACTGCCATCTGTACTACCGTTGTATGTACGGGGAGGCCAGGCATGGCCGCTGTCCGGATGACTTGGTGTGGAATGATGTGTCCATGGCATGTGATCACGTGATCAACGTGGATTGCTCTGGACGAGGACACCAGACGGTCACTGGGAGCACTTCCGGTGTGACGTCAAGCGACTACCCAAGTCCTACACCAACTGTACAGGGTAAAGCTTTCTTTTTGATGGTCGTTTGGACAGAGAAGCTATGTGTACACATGATGAGCACGTGGAGTCTTGTGTTGGGGTCCTGTTTGTGTCTGAAGTCTATATTGTCACTTGTCTTCTGCAACATGTTTATGGAGGAATAATAGAATTGAAGATAAATACATGTCTTTAAAACTAATGGTGATTATGATGACAATGATGATGACGATAATGATGATGATGATTTGGTGATTATGAAGCGTCGAAGGAGTAGGAGTAGACAAAGGAGGAGGACGTAGAGAGAGAGTGGAGGGGGAAGACAAACATGATGATAACACTAACAAGAGAACAGCAACAAATATGTTGGTGAAAATCAGAAACACAGATTTAAAATCTGGTTGTTAACACAATGCTTTCTACACCTTTCCCCTGTAGCCTACTCCTGCGTGGACAAGGTGGACGGAGGCTACTACCCGGATCCCACCAACTGTTATGGCTACTATTACTGTTCCAACGGGGTACCCTACCCCCAGACCTGTGTGGGCGGACAGCACTTCAATCCTGTGACAGTTTCTTGTGACGATGCCGTCAACGTGCTTTGTGTTATTGGCACCACACTAGGTAAATGTTAAGTTGTGAAATTCTGGCTTTTTGTTTTTTAAAACTTTTTTCTTTCTATAGTCGTTCCTTTTTGTTTTGGTTTATATCCCCTCTCTCTCCAGTAAAAGTATTCTTTTTCTTAAATCCATTCTTGTTGTAATCTTATTTAATTATATTCATTGTTCCATTCCGATTTCTGTACGGGGCCTTAAGGCCTTATGCTGCTTTAATTTTCTCCTTCCATTGCTTTT